AAAAAAAAGCCATATATTGCTTACAAGATGTACACTTTACTAAAGAACAGGAACAAATCATTAAACAACAATGGGGCTACAATCAATGCTACATGACATCATTTAAAAGTAATGCTAGAGGAACGGCTGTCTTTTTTAATAACAACTTTGAATTTAAAGTTGAGGATGTGGTTGCCGATAATGAGTCAGGAAATTATGTAATATTAAAAGTAAATATATGTGAAAAGTCTACACAATAGCAAGCATATATGGCCCAAACCAAGATACGCCAGAATTTTATGATACAATAAAAGATCATATGGACCGCCTAGGAGGAACACAAACTATTTTATGCGGAGACTGGAATTTAGTACAAGACCCTAGAAAAGATACCTTTAACTATAAAAATATTAACAACCCAAAGGCCAGAGAAAAAATTATAGATCTGATATACGTTTTAGATTTAAAAGATCCATGGAGAGAAACAAACCCTTTCGAGAAAAGATTTACTTGGCGCCAACCTACTCCAATTAAACAAGCTCGACTAGATTATTTTCTGATCTCTCATAGTTTATTACAGAATGTTATCAAGTGTGACATAAGTCCAAGCATAGATTCAGATCATTCACGTATTTCTATGACATTAGCGCTATCTGAAACACAAAGAGGAAAAGGTTTTTGGAAATTCAACAATTCTTTATTACACGATCCAAAGTATGTACAATTAGTTAAGGAAACTATTAAAAGCACGTTGACCAAATATAACACAAAAACAGAAGACCAAACTCCAAAATACCAAATTAATGATCAACTTCTATGGGAAATGATTCTTATGGAAATCAGAGGACTAACAATTTACTATACATCAACAAAGAGGAAAAAAGATAAGAGCAGAATCAATGAACTAGAAACATTATTGCATGATTTAGAGATAGAATTAGATAACAATGACAGTTTACAGGCCAAAGAAGAAATTTTAAAAAGAATAAATGATATAAAAAGTGAACTTAATGAATTTGAAACAAATAAAACAAAGGGAGCATTTATTAGATCAAAAGCAAAATGGACAGAACAGGGAGAAAAACCAAGTAGATACTTTTTAAACTTGGAATTTAGAAACTTTCTAAACAAGTCTATATCAGAAATTAAAAAACCTGATGGATCAACTATTAAAGGTCAAGAAGAAATACTAAAAGAAACCCAAAGCTTTTATAAAAAACTATATAAAAATGAAAACTGCACACAAATTAATCTTGATTATTTGTTAAACAAATACAATATACCAAAACTAAATGAAGACAGTACCGCAACTTTAGAGGGAGAACTAACATACGAGGAAACCCTAGAAGCATTGAAAAAAATGAAAAATGAAAAAAGTCCCGGACAAGACTGGTTTACAACAGAATTTATAAAATTCTTCTGGTTAGACTTGAACAAATTCTTAATAAACTCGTTAAATTATGCATATCAAAACGAAAATCTATCAGTCACCCAGAAACAAGGATTAATTACATGCTTACCAAAAGAAAACAAACCAAAATTATTTTTAAAAAATTGGCGGCCAATTTCTCTTCTTAACACATCATATAAAATTACATCAGCGGTTATAGCTAATAGAATGAAGAAAGTACTACCAGTAATAATCAATGATGATCAAAAAGGCTTTGTACCAGGAAGATATATTGGTGAGGTCACAAGGCTGATATACGATCTAATGGAGTATACAGAATCTTAACAAATACCAGGGCTTTTAGTTCTAATAGATTTTGAAAAGGCTTTTGACTCAGTTGACAGAAACTTCATACTAAAGGTATTAAGGTTCTTTAATTTTGGACCTAGTTTTCAGAAGTGGATCAGAACTTTTTTTAATGATATGCAATCAAGTGTACTTGTAAATGGATTTGCTAGCACCTTTTTTTCCTATAGCTAGAGGTTGTCGCCAAGGAGATCCGGTATCGCCATATATTTTTGTTTTATGCGCAGAAATTTTAGCTATACTTATCAGAAATAATAAAATATATAAAGGTATTAAAAGGAAGTATTGAATATGTTCTTGCACAATTTGCTGACGATACCTCTTTATCTTTAGATGGCACTGAGAGTAGCCTATATGCCTTACTGAACATTTTATCCTTTTTTGCAAGGTTTTCTGGCTTGAAAATTAATGCTGACAAGACAAGACTGATCTGGATAGGTTCAAAGAAAAGATGTAGATATAAACTCTGTAAAGACTGGAACTTAGATTGGAGTCAAAACGACTTCAAGGTACTGGGTATTACGTTTGATGTAGACCTTGACAAAATGGTGAAACTGAATTACGATGATAAGTTCAAAAAGATAGAGAAGGAAATGAAATTATGGTCAATAAGAACACTTACTCCAATCGGTAGAAATGTTGTTTTGAAATCACTACTGCTTGCAAAATTAAACCATTTATTTTCCTCAATTCCATCACCCCCAGATGAAATAATAAATCAATTTCAACAAGCCTGCTTCAAATTTGTATGGAGAAATAAACCAGACAAAATTAAAAGAGACGTTTTGGCTATGCCACCTGATTACGGAGGAATTAGTGTCCCACTCATTAAGAATAATATTTATGCACATAAAATAGCATGGATAAAAAAATTATATTCCAGTAACTGCAAATGGAAATCATTAGTGGATAACTGTATACCTAATTACGGAAGACTTTGGTTAGCTGATCCTGAATATTTGGAAAAACATATAAAACCATACACAAGAAATCCATTTTGGAGATGTAATTTCTGCATGGGGATCATAATTACAAAAGCATTATAAGATAATAAACCCAAATGACATGTTAAATCAATGTATTTGGTTTAATTATATGTTTTAGCATAGGTAACGAAACAAATTTTATAATCAATTGGTACAATGCAGGAATACACTTTATATATGATCTAATGAACCCAACCACAGGGGAATTCTATACTTACGAAGAACTACAAAAATATACCAATTTCAAAACAAATATCTTAAGATATCACAGTATTAAATCTTCCATAATTGCCTGCTTAAAGAGACAAATCCTTCTACCTAAAATACTCCCATTCTCACCAATACTACCATTTAACATATCCAAGCAATCTAAAGGTCAAAGGCACCAAAACGTTTTACCTTTCTTTACTGGACTCCAATTACAATAAGTCTTATGCTCATAAAAAGTGGGAAAGAGTCTTTGAAACACAGTATGATAACACAATGCTACGAAATATATATATGATGGCAAAACGATCCACAAAATGTAGCAATTTGAAATGGTTACAGATGAAGATATTGTATGATATTCTACCCACAAATATTTTCTTAAATAGGATCGGTCTAAAGGACACACCTTTGTGTACATTCTGTTCAAAGGAACTAGAAACAATTGTCCACCTACTCTGTAATTGTTGTCATGTTAAAAAGATTTGGGAGAGTTTGACCAGATGGTTGATGACTGTAACTGAAGGTAATATTGACTTTACACCAGAAAACATCGTACTTGGATTTAAAGGGAAAAACAATAATTCTCTAAATGCAATATGTCTTGTTGTGAAACAGGTAATATACACACAAAAAATAAAAGAACAAGTTCCAAGTTTCAAACATGTAGTAAGCGAGGTATCAAAATACTATAAAATTACAAAATATAATGCGTACTCTACATGCAGCAACAGTGAGTTTTTACCTTCTGGTCATCTCTCCACAATCTATTTACAGAAAACATATAACAAATGTATTTAATTATTACTATCAGTATTGGAGCTACTGAGATAGATATAAAGATGTTTTTTCATTGTATGAAGGGGGATTTGTGAGTGTGTATCGAATATACTTGATATATTGTATGTGAATATCTGTATGAATATACTTATGTGAATGCATTCTTCATGTACTATGTAAAATGTGGAAATAAAGATGTTAAAAAATGAAAAAATTAAAAAAATAAAAATATGGCTCTTCATAGATACAATCATCAAGTTTTGTTATCGTCAAATATTAAAGGAGGTCTTCGAGCGCAAACGGAAGGCTGGACGATCTACAGTAACACGTGACCTCAATGCCCGACAGCAGAATTCACCTCCGGCATGCAACACCAATATTTCACTCAAACACTCTTTAGGAACCAGGGCCCCGATCAACAAAGCATTAGTACAGATACGGCCTGTCGTAACTCTATAGTTTACCACAGGCTTACGAATGTTGAACGCTACGAACGTTCTGTGGATCGTGACCCAGCATTTATATAACTGAAGTTAATCTGTCTGGCTTTTTGGGAGTATGTGTGCAGAAACCAAACAGAAACCAAAATCTCTTTCGTGGGTTTCTTTACTAGGGCTGCGTAATATAACCGGTTTACCGGTATTTACCGGTTCAGACATGAAAACGATACGTATTGCGATACGCTGATCGAAAATCGGTATTTTGATTTGCATTCGGAAAACTTCGTAACACTCGGAAATCTTCGGATATGTCCTTGTTTCATTTGTGCCAAATATTATTCATATTTTTATTTTTCATGATTAAAAGTTGTTATTAAAGCTTAATTAAGCCTAGTGATTTTGTTGTGTTTTGTGTTTTCTATAAATCAAGAAGTAACTCGATTATAAGTAGTTTTTGTTTAAAAATACTTCATGAAATATATTGCAATACATATCGCAATACATGCTTTCGGATAGCAATATATCGCAATATGAAAATTCTCTGCAATACCCACCCCTATTCTTTACTTTGATAGACGAGTACGAGTTGCTTCCTCTTTCACTGACCTGGCCAGCGTTGTTTAAGTAACAGGAATGTACACGCACTTCAACGCCTAAGTAGCGGTACTCGCCGTATGACACTACAGTATATTCTATTGGTCATTAAGGTACCAGCTTACTTCAAGGATTTGCCATTACCAGACCCAGTGACTTTCGTTAAAAACGCATAAACTATAAAATACACATAATATTTTTATTCGCTGTATGCCAAACATAAATGTGTTATATACAATCAGGTAGGAACGTCCCCTGTATTCTTGTTCCTGGGCATCCATTGGTCCTTTGTACAGGGATTTGTCTTATGAGTTTAGGTTTACGTCGCTTTTAGCAATATTCCAGCAATATCACGGGTCTATCTAATGACATAAGGGGGATGTATGGGCACATCCTTTCGTTTCGTTGTTGAAGACGAGCCCAGCAGGACAGGGTCTGTTGTCGACGATGTTGCCAGCATGGCATGTTACGTACACGTTGCAGCTGCTGCAGGATTCGTAGTTACCGTCGGCCAAACCCTGGCAGTTGCTCACGCAGGTTAAACTAAAACAGAAATGACAAGGAACATTCCTGTGTATGAACTATAGGTTTGTTCTTTGGTACGGAATTAAAACTAATATCATATTCAGTACCAACCATGGTCCCGTTTTTATTCAACCCCTTCTTATGTTGTACTTGTGACACTCTGTTGTACTTGGATATACGTATGCTGTTTTTATCCATGATTTCATAATTTCTAATAATGTCCAAAGTATTCATTATTATCAAGTTTGAATATTTTGAAAAAAGAAATGATCTGTTTGTATTACATTTCTTATGTTCACATTTTTATCTTTGTGAATTCATTATTAAAACACATGTGCCGCCATGTAGCTGGAATATTGCTGGGTGCGGCGTAAAACTAAACTCACTCACTCACTCACTAAAACAAATGTTTTAACACTAATATATAAATACAATCGTCGAAAAGCAGAGATCCTGTAAACTGTCCAAACAGAACAGATCATTACCATGTAAGTTTAACAACCAGCTATCAATGTGTAAGATAACGACAAATACCACGAAATTTGAAAAAATTGGATTATTTCTCTTCAGGAATGGATTTTACTTTTTCAAAAATGAGTGGCGGTGGGGGTAGCATAGTGGTTAAAGCGTTGGCTCGTTACGCCGAAGACCAGGGTTCGATTCCCCATATGGGCACAATGTGTGAAGCCCATTTCTGGTGTCCCCCGCCGTGATATTGCTGGAATATTGCTAAAAGCGGCGTAAAACTAAACTCAGTCAGTCAGTCTTCAAAAATGTCTCTGACTCTTCCAGTATTTCGTCTTATTAATTTGATATCAATTTTTAAACTGTTTGGTTTGTTTCGTTGCAAAATCCTTTTTTGGTACTTCACTAGTCTCAAACGACGGATAAGTTGACATATGTATGATGACCCCAAAGACTTAGGGTTAGCCACATTAATACATGTCCTTGCACGGTAAATTACGTTTATAGTGAACACACTTATACCGAACTATCGGATATATCGAAATAGTTTTGGATCGCGACGACTTGGTGTATATTGTAGGCGAAATGCTTGTAACGAAATACGGTTAAAACGAACTAATTAATTGACCCCTCGTTATATACGTAGTTACAATAATTTACGTACGGAGTGCATGTTGCGGAACTCAGTTCGCAGCGCTTGAAGGAGTCGTCCCAAACGGTGTTTCCGACACACGGCCTGTCGTCGAAGAGTTTCTCATGCCAACAGGTGGCGAACACTTTGCAACCTTTACAAGACTGGTAGTCGCCGTCGGGTAAGCCTGTACAGCTCGTGATGCACGGGTTTTGCGCTGAGTAAAAAAGAACCTGTATCTTGTATTTGTATTCACCCATGATGAACAAGGGAACTTCAGCAACTTCAGCAACTCATGCTTGGCGTACAAGGAGATTAACAGGTTCGTGGCTGTTGACATGCCTATGTTGCCATATTTTATTAATTAATTCTTAGTTCTTACCAGGTCCGTGAAGGTCCGGGTTAGAATATTGATCTTCAGTAACCAATGCTTGTCGTAAGAGGCGACTAACGGGATCGGATGGTCAGGCTCGCTGACTTGGTTGACACATGTCATCGGTTCCCAAATGCGCAGATCGATGCTCATGCTGTTGATCATATGATTGTCTGGTCCAGACTCGATTATTTACAGACCGCCGCCGTATAGGTAGAATATTGCTGAGTGCGGCGTAAAACTAAACTCACTCACTCACTAGTTCTTACCATAGACATAACCACTGAGGACCTATAACCCGTGAAGATCTGTATTAGAATATGTGTTCAGAAACCCATACGCGTCTTAAGAACGACTGATGGGATCTGGTGGTCAGGCTCACTGACTTGGTTCACACATGTCATCGTATCCCAATTGCGTAGAGGGGCGGTGGGGTAGCCTAATGGTTGAAGCGTTGGCTCGTCATGCCAAAGACCCGGGTTCGAATCCCCACATGGGCACAATGTGTGAAGCCCATTTCTGGTGTCCCCCGCTGTTATGTTGCTGGAATATTGCTAAAAGCGGCGTAAAACCAAACTCAGTCAGTCAGTCAGCCAATTGCGTAGATCGATGTTCATGATATTGATCACTGGATTGTATGGTTCTGACTCGATTATTTTCAAACCGACGTCATATAGCTGGAGTGCAGCGTTTAACAGCAACCAGTCAGCTGTGACCATGAATTGCCACATCAGACAAAACATAAGCATATCAAACCTTTCAAAAATTACAGTTGTCTAAATTTTAAATGCAGATCTGAATACGCTTATTATACACAAACAAAGACTGTTGCTTACCTAACGATATAGACATGTCAAAATATAAAGTTGTGATGCAAAGAATTCAAGACCGTTATCTATTGACTTATTGAAGGGACATTGTCGCACTTTGGTTCATTTTGACACTTGGTTTTCTAAGGGCGACAGCGCAGCAATGTCCCTTCTAGGATTCCATAATTATCAACGGCTAATGAGTATCATCAGAATCACACACCTGCAGCAAGACAGGCCAGGTAAGTCAAGACGATGACGATGTTGGTGGGAGTATGCATGTTTGTAGATGAATCTGAAAAAAGAGTACAGAAGTGTTAAACAAAATTTTTAAACTTGCTTTGTTTGAACAGGTAGCGCACGTGACATTATTGAATGTTTCTTTTCAAATGCTAATTATGAGAGCTGATAGCGTAATCTTTTGGTTTAAGCGCTCGTTAAGGATCGATTTCGATCACCCACATGAGTTACAAGTGTGGAGCTTATCTCTGATGCCTAGGGGCAGTGGGGTAGCCTAATGCTTGAAGCGTCCGCCTGTTACGCTGAAGACCCGGGATCGAATCAACACATGGTCCAATGTGTTAAGCCCGTTTCTGGTGTCCCTCACCATGATGTAGTTGGAGTATTGCTAAAAGCGGCGAAATACCATACTCACTCAAATTAAGGTCCACACCCGTGACCAATGTGCAATAAAGCTAATAGTGCCATGATATGTTTCAATAATTCAAACCCCACATGGCATTGCTAAAACATTGCTAAAGCAATATAAGATTGCAGAAATATTATAAATGGCGAAATGACATTACAGGAATGTCACTAAAATTGCTGAGATATTACTAAATGCACGATGAAATTGTTGGCATAGTGCTGCGAATGCCATGATATTGCTAAGAATACTGCTTAACGCGAGGGATCAGTGGTGTAGCCAAGCTCGTCACTCCGATGACCCGGGTTCGATTGCCAACATAGGTAAAACGTGTGACGCCTATTTCTGGTGGCCCCTACCGTGATATTGCACTCACTCACTAAATACGGCGTAAAACTTCCCTCGCCCGCAAATCTGTAAAAACATTCCTTGAAGCCATCCCCGTTTGCACGTTTAAAGTGATAATGCTTGAATATTGCCAGAAGCGGTGTAAAATCGTACTTATCACTTATTTACGAGCTGAGGTAGGTGACCTTGTAAGGTGACCTCAACAGAAGCCCCTGCTCACCAGATCGGGGCCAGTGCTTGTTTGTGTCTTGGTTTGCTCTTTAATGCAACACTCAGCAATATCCCATGTATAGAGATTGAAAACTAGCATGTAACTTAAAAATGAGCGAACGCTTTAACCACTCGGCTACCCCACCGTCTCTCAAACAATATTCCAGCTACATGGCGGCGGGCTGTAAATAATCGAGTCTGGACCAGACAATCTAGTGATCAGCAGCATGAGCATCGGTCTGCGCAATTGGGAACCCATAACATGTGTCAACCAAGTCAGCGAGCCTGACCACCCGATCCCGTTAGTGGCCTCTGACGACAAGCATGGGTTCCTGAAGATCCATTCTAACCCGGACCTTGTCCAGTACTTTTGATACACAAATCGTATCACTATTACACAAATTATATCACCTGACACACTACATCTCATGTCTTACCTTTGGATGTGGAAATGTAACGGCTGTTTCAATGTGTCGCAGTAATGTGTTGCGCATATATGCGGGCTTATATACAGGCCTCACCACGCCCCCTCGAGCTATGTCCGGATCAGCGATAGTGGACCAGGTGATCACGTGTAATTAATGTATATCATGAGGTAATATGGACATCTCTATTTGTCTATCCAGGCGTATGTATCGGGTATAAAGATGAACCCTAACGATAAGCTGATAGCAGGGACATTACAGGAACTGCTCAGCGATTATCTGGATGTTACGAAATGACATCTCAATGATAACGTTGTGGCTTGCCGCAAGCACTGAAAGACTTTTCCTTTGTGTATGTACATATGGAATCGAATCCGTGATTCAAGTGGGAAGGGGCGGTGGGGTAGCCCAGTGGTTAAAGTGTTGGCTTGTCACTCCGAAGACCCGGGTTCGATTCCCCATATGGGTACAATGTGTGAAGCCCATTCCGCTGTCTCCCGTCTTATTATTGCTGGATTATTGCCAAAAGCGTCGTAAATTTAAACGTTCTCACTAGGTATAGGATTGACGAGCCGGTACAGCTCGGATTTCCATTTGTCACATATTATGTCATAAAACGACTTTTTGAATTTAAATGTGACAGATTATTGTACAGAATAAACTAAATATAAAATATCTTGATATAAGCTTCTATTGTCGGTTGAACAAGAATCGTGACGCGCTTCCATCTGATATTCTATTATGACATAATACATTCATCACAGTGTGAGTGTGTGTTTTGTGTGAGGCTGCACTTACTGAACTCGACAACGTATGAAACGACCGTCAAATAGTTTCCAACTTACGTACACACACCCTCACACATACACACAATCACACTCACATAAACATACTGATATACCTGCACACACACATATCTATACAAGCGCACTTACATGCGCTCTTTTCCTTTATCTCACAGACACTTACATAGGTACATACATACACGCACTCTTTCTTTCTCTCACAGACGCGTACATAGATACATGCACTTTTTCTTTCTCTCACAGACGCGTACATACATACATACACACCGCACTCTTTATTTCTCTCACAGACGCGTACATAGATACATACATACATACACGCACTCTTTCTTTCTGTCACAGACACGTACATAGATACATATACACACACTCTTTCTTTCTCTCACAGACACGTACATAGATACATACATACCGGCACTCTTTCTTTCTCTCACAGGCACATACATAGATACATACATACACGCACTCTTTCTTTCTCTCAAAGACGCGTACATAGATACATACATAAACGCACTCTTTCTTTCTCTCATAGACACATACATATATACATATACGCATTCTTTCTCTCACATGCACACACTTACTCCCATACATACATACATACATACATACATACATACACACACATACATACCCATACATACATACATACATACATACATACATACACGCACTCTCTCACACATACACACATGCTCACACACACACGCACTCACACACACACACACACACACACACACACACACACAAAAAAAAGCCGTGATATTGGAATATTGCTAAAAGCAGCGTAAAATACCCTCACTTACCAAAGTCAGACACATGATGTCCGACCAGTTGTTGTTTCTATACAATGAGTGCAGACACTGGATTCGGAGATATGGTTAATTGTTGATCTCAAACATAGAATAGGTTTGTCAGAATTTAACACTAAACGTGTGCACATATATAACCTAAAAGAATGGATGTTTTATGCTAACTCATTTATTTACAAAACGTTGTGACAATGTTTCACAGTTGTTGGGCAGTGTCCAGGTCATGGAGGCAGTCATTGGAGGCTATAGGGTTATATCCCTTGGATGTTCGCGGATGTCAGTCACAGTCACATCTGAAAATAATTCATATATGTGAGTAAATCATTAATATAAGATTGTAAAGCAGTGAATCTAAAAACAGGAAAATATTTGTTGTTACAATCAGTATCCCTACCACTATCCGGGTTAGAATATTGGTCTTCAGCTACCCATGCTTGTCGTAAGAGGAGACTAACGGGATAGGGTGGTCAGGCTCGATGACTTGGTTGACACATGTCATCGTATTCCAGTGGCGTAGATCGATGCACTATCGCCACAGTACTGCCACTAACATGGCTACTGATGTTTATGCAAACACTTCTACCACACATATCATACACCACCACTATCGCCACAATACCGCCACTGACATTGGTACTGATGTTTCTGCAAATACTTCTACCACACATATCATACACCACCACTATTGCCACAATACCGCCACTAACATTGATACTGATGTTTCTACAAACACTGCTACCACACATATCATACACCACCACTATCGCCACAATACCGCCACTAACATTGCTACTGATGTTTCTACAAACACTGCTACCACACATATCATACACCACCACTATCGCCACAATACCGCCACTAACATTGATACTGATGTTTCTGCAAACACTTATACCACACATATCATACACCACCACTATCGCCACAATACCGCGACTAACATTGATACTGATGTTTCTGTAAACACAGCTTCCACACATATCATACACTATCACTATCGCCATAATACCGCCACCAACATTGATACTGATATTTCTGTAAACACTTCTACCACACATATCATACACCACCACTATCGCCACAATACCGCCACTAACATTGATACTGATATTTCTGTAAACACTGCTACCACACATATCATACACCACCACTTTCACCACAATACCGCCACTAACATTGATACTGATGTTTCTGCAAACACTTCTACCACATATCATACACCACCACTATCACCACAATACCGCCACTAACATTGCTACTGATGTTTCTACAAACACTGCTACCACACATATCATACACCACCACTATCGCCACAATACCGCCACTAACATTGATACTGATGTTTCTACAAACACTTCTACCACACATATCATACACCACCACTATCACCACAATACCGCCACTAACATTGATACTGATGTTTCTACAAACACTGCTACCACACATATCATACACCACCACTATCGCCACAATACCGCCACTAACATTGCTACTGATGTTTCTGCAAACACTTCTACCACACATATCATACACCACCACTATCGCCACAATACCGCCACTAACATTGCTACTGATGTTTCTGTAAACACTTCTACCACACATATCATACACCACCACTATCACCACAATACCGCCACTAACATTGATACTGATGTTTCTACAAACACTTCTACCACACATATCATACACCACCACTATCGCCACAATACCGCCACTAACATTGATGCTGATGTTTCTACAAACACTTCTACCACACATATCATACACCACCACTATCACCACAATACCGCCACTAACATTGCTACTGATGTTTCTGCAAACACTTCTACCACACATATCATACACCACCACTATCGCCACAATACCGCCACTAACATTGATACTGATGTTTCTACAAACACTTCTACCACACATATCATACACCACCACTATCGCCACAATACCGCCACTAACATTGATGCTGATGTTTCTACAAACACTTCTACCACACATATCATACACCACCACTATCACCACAATACCGCCACTAACATTGATACTGATGTTTATGCAAACACTTCTACCACACATATCATACACCACCACTATCGCCACAATACCGCCACTAACATTGATGCTAATGTTTCTACAAACACTTCTACCACACATATCATACACCATCACTATCACCACAATACCGCCACTAACATTGATACTGATGTTTATGCAAACACTTCTACCACACATATCATACACCACCACTATCACCACAATACCGCCACTAACATTGATACTGATGTTTATGCAAACACTTCTACCACACATATCATACACCACCACTATCGTCACAGTTCTGCCATTAACTATTTTAACTAACAGACTACTCCACTACCCCAAGGGCAATATGAAGTTAGCCTAGCGACTATTATTTTCCATTTAGTGCCAATCAGACTGCTCATTGAGAGCACATATAACGGTATCCACGCTCTGTGATGACCGCAATCTATAGCCTTCTTGTCATTGCAAAGTAAGCAATGTGCAATCAGGCGCAAAGGTGGTGTTTCAAATACCGAATTGGCCCTCTGCTGATTCTGTATCTAACCGAACGCTTACGGGCAATCGGCTAATAACTGTACGCGTTAACCGAATTTGCCTCGCGTGTAGTGCCTCAGGACAACTAACCACCAACCACAAGAAAGTGACCCGTGACGATCCGGGTTAGAATTGCTCTTCATCAACCCATGTTAGACGTAGGAAGCAACTAACGGATCGGGTAGTCAGGCTCGCTGACTTGGTTGACACTTGTCATCGTATCCCAGCTGCGTAGATCGTTGCTTAGGATGTTGATCACTGGATTGTCTGGTCCAGACACGATTGTTTACAGACCGCTGCTATGTAGCTGGAATATTGCTGAGTGCGGCGTTAAACAAACAAACAAACAAACAAACACAACCCTGCTATCACTTCGTTAAGCTTCAAAGCAAGACGTAATATAAAAGCAAGGCGTAATATATTATAAACAATTGTGTCATCTACAGTGAACTATAACTACTTGTGCGTGAGTGAGTTTAGCTTTACGCCGCACTCAGCAATGTTCCGGCAATATCACGGCGGGGAACACAGAAAAGGGCTTCACACATTGTCCCTATGTGGGGAATCGAACCCGGGTCTTCGGCGTGACAAGCAAACGTTTTATCTACTAGGCTACCCCCACCGCCCCTGTAACTACTTGTACAACGAACACGCTTATAAGAATTGAATGATGTAACTGTCTTTTAGTCACCAATACTTATATATTTAAGTCGAAATACGAACTGAGACCCCTTTACGTTCGTAATAACCGTTGTTTATTGTATATTTTTCCACAAAGATGATGTTTAATATCACACGCGTTGCTAGGTTCTAACAAATGTTAGATTTGGGATCACAATTTTTTAGTAAAGTACAGATTCTAGTATTTTCCGTGGGCTGAGTCTCCACCAGGATTCGAACTCGTCAGACACCTAATCGCCAGCACACAAAGTCAGTCGTCTAACCCATTCAGCCACCGCAGCTTCCACGGTGTAATCCCAAATATGACATTTGTTACTTTGGACCACTTTCTAAATGGTAATATTGACTTACTCTTGACTTACTCTTCCGTGTGCTGAGGCTCAAATGTGAGGTAGTCAGATCCCGGGCACGTGGTGGAGTGACCCTGGCAACGTTTGACGGCGTCATCCCAGACGGTTTTGGCAGAACAGGGCATGACGAAGGTGTTGCCGTTGGAGCAGATGGTGTACACGTTGCAGCCCTTACAGGACTGGTAGTCACCATCGTTCATTCCGGTGCAGTTTGTGATGCAGGGATATTTGCCTGAAAATGTGAGTGTGTGACTGAGTTTAGTTGCACGTCGCTTTTAGCAATACTCCAGCAATACTAGGGCGGAGGACACAGGAAATGGGCTTCATACATCTTTCCATGTGGGGAATCGAAAACAGGTCTTCGGCGTGATGAGCAAACGCTTTAACCACTAGGCTACCCCCCTCGCCCCTCCCTGAATACAAGACTGACTGACTGACCGAGTGTAGTTTTACGCCGCTTTTAGCAATATTCCAGCAATATCACGGCGGGGGACACCAGAAATGGGCTTCACGCATTGTGCCCATGTGAGGAATCGAACCCGGGTCTTCGGCGTGACGAGCCAACGCTTTATCCACTAGGCTACCCCACCGGCCCCTGAATACAAGAAGCTAGATATGACAAGAAAACAGGATTACATTACTTGCATGTTGACATGCATGCGTGTGTGTGTGCGGTTGCATTTACTATAATGCTTGTGCACTGAGATACCATGCCGCTGTTAATAGACAGAAAATCCCGATTTGATTCAATCTTAAGAGAGTCGACGAAAGATTACATTGCCCCTACCAAATTTAAATTCTAGCAACCATAAACATGGTGTATATTTTCCCAATTCACAATTGGTATCCATTTTGGTTGGAGTAAAAGGTTTTTGATGCACTAATGTACTGGAAATAATGACCCTACCCAGATGACTGCCATACTTTTGGATAACCCTCACTGCCGTCCTTATCAAAATATGCCAGGAGCATTCATTGAAGGACAAAATCCAAAGGCACTCCATAAGCCAAATTTCATTCCAGAACCTTCTACAGAAGAAACCCTATTTTGGTAACCCTGCCCTGCCCTGCCCTGCCCTGCCCTGCCCTCCCTGCCCTGCCCTGCCCTGCCCTGCCCTGCCCTGCCCTGCCCTGCCCCTGCCCTGCCCTGCCCTGCCCCGCCCCGCCCCGCCCCCCCCCCCCCCCCGCCCCGCCCGACCCGCCTGCCCCGCTGTTATACACGATACTTACGTATTTCAGTGAGAGCACCCTGGGGTTGTTTTGGTGTACATGTTTTCGATGTTTTTTCACAACGCTTCAGTGAATCGTCCCACAGAAGGCCGCTGGGACACGTGATGTTGTCGGTCAGTTTGCCGTTGTCACATTTAGCGTGCACCTTACAGCTGGTGCAGGACTGGTACGTCAGGTCGGGTTTCCCTGTACAGTTCTTCATGCATGGACTTGGCGCTGAAACAATAACAGGGTTCACTGTTGAATGTGTGTTTCTTATTGGTTGGTAGCCGAAATCTGGAATATTCAAGCTATATGGCGGCGGTCTGTAAGTAATCGAGTCTGGACCAGACAATCCAGTCCAGTGATCAACACCATGAGCATCGATCTGGGCAGATGGGAATGGATGACATGTGGCAACCAAGTCAGTGAACCTGACCACACGATTCCGTTAGTCGCCTCTTACGACAAGCATGGGTTACTGAAGATCAAAATTCTAACCCGGACCTTCACGGGTCCACTCATTTACGAGCTGAGGCAGATGATTATGGAAACCTCAGCAGAAGCCCTTGCATGCTCATCAGATCGGTGCATTGCCAATACTGTTCTTTTTAACGCCGCACACATCCATGGTCATTTCTTAAACATCAACAGTAACACCTTTAAGTGTCGTCACTGGCATAATGCAAACACTCCACACTCACGAACTACGCATGAATATATTTGTGTTTGTTGCTTAACGCCGCACTCAGCAATATTCCAGCTATATGACGACAGTCTGAAAAATAATCGAGTCTGGAACAGACAATCCAGAGATTGATGAACATCGATCTACGCAAATGGTTTACGGTGGCATGCGTCTTCTGGGTTGCTGAAGACCAAATCTGACCCGTATCTTCACGGGTCATGAAACAGCAACCTACCAAACATGGATGTATTTACCTCCAGTGGGGCATGTTGTTGAGATCCCTTCGCATCGTTTGTAGAAATCGTCCCACACTAGATTGCCTGGGCAGGTTCTGTTGTCAAACAGCTGACCGTGGGCGCATGAGGCGAACACCTGGCATCCAATACACGACTGATAGTCGCCGTCGCGAACTCCGGCACAGCTCGAGACACACCGGTTAGACGCTGCAAGAGTGAGTGAGTGAGTGAGTGAGTGAGTGAGTGAGTGAGTGAGTGAGTGAGTGAGTGAGTGAGTGAGTGAGTGAGTGAGTGAGTGAGTGAGTGAGTGAGTGAGTGAGTGAGTGAGTGAGTGAGTGAGTGAGTGAGTGAGTGAGTGAGTGAGTGAGTGAGTGAGGGCGTTAATTAGTTAGTTTGGTGTAACGGCTCTTTCACACATACGGCGTAAGGAGCGGAAGCTTTAAAACTACGCTAATCCCTGACACTGCAACGCAATCATAATTTCTCAGGTTGCATGAAATGTTTCTCGGACACATGTATTGAGTGAGTGAGTGAGTGAGTTTAGGTTTACGCCGCACTCAGCAATATTCCAGCTATATGGCGGCGGTCTGTAAATAATCGAGTCTGGACTAGACAATCCAGTGATCAACAGCAGGAGCATCGATCTGTGAAATTGGGAACCGATGACATGTGTCAACTAAGTCAGCGAGCCTGACCACCCGATCCCGTTAGTCGCCTCTTACGACAAGCAAGTCGCCTCTCATGGCAAGCATGGGTTGCTGAAGACCTATTCTACCCCTGATCTTCACGGGTCGGACACATGTATTGAAACTGAAGGGCGCAAAAAGGACTATGTGTATATACAAAGAGAACGAGAGGGGAAGGCTTTATATTGCTCCCACCACGAACACAAACAAAAACACGGGATTCGGACGTTTGATACACGCAGGACTATCATTTGGCCCCGAAATAAATATATCCAAAGCAAGAAAAACAACAACGTTCTGTCATTATCTTAATAAAATATTATACACATGCATATTATAGACTTGCAGGGGCTGTATTGGTGAAAAGACAATATAACGCCAGTACTTTGTCAAACACAGACAAGAAGCCTGCTCGGATATTTACATTTACAAATGACTGACATGCATGGCTAAAAGTAACGTATCCCTTGAGCATGAGCAGATCATTTACATTGGTATTAACGAAATGAGAATAATTGCAAACACCTGGCCCATGCACAGTTATATCCCTTCATCTCATATGACAATTGCTGAATTTTCCTAATGCAACAGAATCGGTTAATATATATTTTTAATTTTATTTTTCTTACTTACGTGGTGAGGGGCCAGGGTGGGGCCAGGGGTGGGCCAGGGTGGGGCCAGGGCAGGTGGAGGAGTTCTTCTCACATCTCTTCAGGGAATCGTCCCAGAATGTTCCTGGGGAGCATTTATTGAGTCTGATTCGCCGTTGACGACAGGATGCATACAGGGAGCATCCCTTGCATGACTGGTAGTTACCATCTGGTAGAGCCGTGCAGTTCGTTATACAGGGGTTGTTACCTGGAATTAGCCAGAACGTGCTAATAAACCACATTAGTTTAAAATTTTGAGGCAGTTCATCGTTGATGAAACATGGCAAAAAACGTCAGTCAAAATCTTAAGCTTTTCTGGTTTGCTTTTTAGTTTAATGTCGCACTCAGCAATATTCCAGCTATATGGCGGCGGTCTGTAAATAATCTGGACAAGACAATCCAGTGATCAACATCTAAAGTCACTCATTCTTTAATGCTATTCAAAGCGGGCCTAAAATCAGAAGTAAATGAGTTTTAGCAATAGTCTTGCAATATCGCTGCTGGACACCACAAATGGGCTTTACATATTGTACCCATATGGAGAATCGAACCCCGCTCTCCGGTGTGACGAGCGAACGACTTGACTTCCTCACTGCCCCAATGTTTAGTAAAATGATCCTGTCAGTTAGATGATCCTTCACTGCCATGGTGGAAGATGCTAATAGTCATGTGACGATACGACATTATTGGACTATTCCTGGGTATTTTCCGTCACGTCAATTTACATGCAGTTAGAATTATAAATTATTAAAAATCATTTTTAAAAATGCCCACCTCTTTCTAGACACGTCGACGACGTCTGCTGGCAACGTTTCACTTGATCGTCCCATACCGTCCCGCAGGGGCACCTGAGTGGAATCTTGAACCCGTGGTAGCAGGCAATGACCTGATTGCAGCCGCTACACGACTGATATTTACCGCTGGGAATACCCTTGCAAGTTTTCACGCAGCGTGTGTCGGCTGTGCCAAAAACAAACAGATACAATGTGTTTGCAAATGACACAATGCGAGAGAAAAGCGTGTCATCAACACTTGTTATCTTATCTCATCGTTTTAAGAATATATTAATAGGGTCAAACTAACAAGAGGTTGGTGGTGTGTGGTCCTGTGGAAAGTGAAGTTGTGCAGGATTGGTCGCGTCCTTGGATGAGTGACCATCTGTTTGACTCCAGAATATTTTCAGGACTTCCATCCTGCCCCATAAGGAAGCACAATTGACTGTTAACTGATCCATCGATCGGGATAGCATTGTTAGCACATTGAGCAAAGACCTTGTGCATGGAATTTACCTCAGATGTACAGACATTAAAGTACAGATAATATATGTGAATAATATTTCTCAGGCAATACTGAAACATCATTAGTGTACTATGCAAGATACGATGGATTTGTATTTCTTTCAGTCCTAAGACATTAACATATGCCATTAAAAAAGTAGGGGATATTACATTTTGCGAGCATACCACTAGCATATGAGAACAAGTAATATATATCCATACAGATGAAACATTTCCAACGGAATGGAATAAATTGTCACATTTTCCCTTTATTTCTCTTCATCCTCTGTTTCCTCCTTGGCTTCATCACTTGCATTTTATCAATCTTGTAAATCCAATAGCCCCTACTTTTTTGAATGGTATATATTACAGCCCAATTTAAAAGCAAATGTTTATCATTGCTGTTTAGTAGACTTTCCAAATTTGTTGCAGCAGGCAACACCACATATTTTGATAAACATCCGTCTCTGTATATAATGTACGTGCACTACAGTCAACGGGTAAGACGCAGTCAGTACATCTTCAGCAATATAGTGGTCACACATTCTACATAATCTGTGTGCACTGCACTGTTTGTGCATCTGATATGTCGGACAGATGGGGACCTCTCATAAGAGTGATTATTGATGAGCAGTCATCCAATTGCACTGTTTTGGCAATATTCTAGAATATCCGAACAATATTCCTGCAGCTTTACAACAGTATTGTGGCAATGTTACAGCAATATTCCAGCAGTATTTAAAATATTCCTGCAATATTCCATTGACATTTCAGCAGTATTCGAACAATTTTCAAGCAATTTAAAAAAAATTACAGCAACATTGTATTAGTATTTCAGCAGTATTCAACAATATCGTAGCTCAGTTACACCACAGGATACAATATGTTAGTGAGTGAGTATGTTATTTCGCCGTTTTTAGCAATATTCCAGCAATACCACGGCGGGGGACACCAGAAATGGCTTCACATATTGTACCTATGTGGGGAATCGAACCCGGGTCTTCGACTTGAAGAGCCAACGCTTTAACCACTAGGCTACCCCACCTCCCCGATACAATATGTGAAGCCAATTTATTTTGTTCCTTGAGATATTGCTGGAATACTGATAAACCTGTTGTAGAGTCAAGTGCTACAGCAATGGATCCAAACACTGGCCCACTTGCACAAAGCGATCTCAGCGCTACGATGATTGTAACTCCCATTCTCTAACATAGGCTTAAGATAGTCGTAGCGCTAAGATCGCTTTGTGCAAGTGGGCCCTGAAGACAACGTTCGGTCAAGAAAATGATTGTCGGGGACATACCTGACACCGCGCATATCACAAGGAACATCACCCCGACGACATATACACCGCCGGCCATGTTGTGAGATCTGCAACAAGGAAGTGTGTTCTCATAAGCATCATAGTCAGTAAGTTTTTGAAGTCACAACGGCAGCGTTTCAGCCATATCGTGAATATAAGCATTAGAAAAATCCATCGATTAATATTGACAACGCCGCTTCCTCAGCTGTTGAGAAATTGAAAACATCGTATTATATTTAATTAAAAGATATGGGAGGTTACATCTGGATTTTGTGATTTGATGAAACCACATAATGTCAACCCCAGAGTGAATAAGTTTATTGTTACGTCGCTTTAGCAATATTCCAGCAATATCACGGCGGGGAACACCAGAAATGGCTTCACACATTGTACCCATGTGGGGAATCGAGCCCGGGCTTCCGCGTGTCAACCGCAGAGAACAAACTCGACCGTCCGGCAAAACAGGCTTTACTGGGCCGTCAAATGCTTGTTATTGTTATATGATGGATCGTGAAAATAAGTAATATAATTGCAGTATGCGCGGTCCAGTAAATAATCTAGACTTTCCCATCCAGACCAACTGTATAGTGATCGCCAACTGCATAAACATCCGACGTCTCATAACGGCTGAATTCATGTGTCAACCCTGTGCCAGCGAGCCTCGTTGTTTTAAACCCTCGCTCAGCATCCCGCTATATGTCGCCTGTAAATAATCGACAAGCATCCAGCTCAACTGATCCTGGGAACCCGGATGTTCACGTCAGGAGCCTCGTCAGTGCTGGGCCATCTTACGACAGGATGGCTTACTGATCCTAACCCGGATCTTCACGGGTCGTGTGAGTGAGTGAGTGAGCATGGTTTTACGCCGCCTTTAGCAATATGCCACCATGCTACCCTACCGCCCCCATACACTTAGAGGACAGGTGTAAATTAACAGAAAAGCTAACCGCTAGGTATTACCAGTTTTCTTTCTTACAAAGCATTTACTAATACACTATCATGTATTAAAGAATATACAACTATTTTTAATGACCGAAATGTCTAACTTTGTGACAGTAACAACTGATTCAATCTGGGGCGTTCGCTCGTCACGCCGAAGATCCGGGCTCGATTCCCCACATGGGTACAATGTGTGAAACCCATTTCTGGTGTCTCCGCCATGATATTGCTGGAATATTGCTAAAAGCCGCGTAAAACTAAACTCTCTCACTCACTGATTCAATCTATTCTTTTTGTTGTTGTTGTTGTTTTCTGCAGCTACAGCTTGCAGGGCAATAAAATAAAAATCTGCAAATTTGACTACACATGATCTTGCTTTATTTATTTCCTATTTCCTGAATACCTAAGAAAATATAATAAATTCGTTTTTTTTCAAGACAGAACCTTTCTCTTTTCCTATACGCATATACATGCTCCTGAACAGAACAGAATCAAAGTTGATGATTTTGTGTTCTTTCCTGATTTAGATATGAACAAGAGTAGATGTATATTTGTATTGTATTTTTGATTGAACTACGACCCCCGACCCAAATTTAAATCACGAACAGATATTGTCTGTAGATCGGTTGACCAAATTTCCTGTCTCTTTCTGGTGTATTAAGTTAAGCTTGTTTTCGGCATAGAAAATGTCGAAAACCAAACCCTCAGAGTTTAAAGATGTTACAAGATATTTTCAAATTCGATATAAAGGAGCAATTAGCCAGTGATATTATATTGATATTAGCATTCTGACAGAACGGTAATGTTTTCAGCGCAAAACAGATAGATACAAAAGGCTTCTTAATAGCCACCATTCACAATTCATTGATGTACATCGATATCTATGAATAATGCATTGCCTGTTTATTGCTTACTGCCCACTCAGGTGTGCCTCAACAATGTTAATAAGTTGATAAGTAGATTCTATTTTAAGCCACATCGATCAGCTAAACTCTTTGGGAAAAGAAAGCATACATAAGGAAACATGACCAAAGCCTGACTTTGCTTACTTGGTACCCGTACTAAATGCAACGCCATCGAATAGTCATGTCATGTTTGGTTCATTCTATCTGCCAACGGGCGGTGGGGTAGCCTAGTGGTTAAAGCGTTCGCTCGTCACGCCGAAGTCCCTGGTTCGGTTCCCCACATGGGTACAATGTGGGAGCCCATGTCTGCGTCTCTCGCCGTGATATTGCTGGTATATTGCTAAAAGCGGCGTAAAACTATACTCACTTACTGAATTTAGCTGCCACACAAATGTGACAGTATAGTTTCATATGTACGTCAGTTTATGTGACTTTGGTTTCTTAACAATCGAATTTGGATCCAGCCAACCAGTGATTGTTGTCAAGAGCAACGCAGTCACCGAACCCGGCCACTCGATTAATTGATAATCCTACGACAAGCGCAAGCTGGTGTGATCTATCTGAACTAATAATCTGTAAGTGTATAAAATTTATGTTAATATTTGTATAGCGCCAATATCCAGCTCAGCTACTCAAAGTGCTTTGTTTTTCCCTCGATCGTTGGATGTCAATCTCAAACGGCACATATTATAATCAATCGCAACTCCCTCGGGGCATACAAAAATTAATAAAATACAAACAAATATATAGTTTGTCCTATGTTACATGAAAATGGATTAGTGTGTGTGAGTGAGTTTTACCCCGCTTTTAGCAATATTCCAGCAATATCACGGCGGGGGATACCAGAAATGGGCTTAACACATTGTGCCAATGTGGGGAATCGAACCCTGGTCTTCGGCGACCGGGACGAGCGAACGCTTTAACCACTTGGCGAGCCTACCGCCCCTTTATGGAAATGAAGAAGTTCCTTATATACATAATATATTACTGCTCATATAACATGCATTATTTTTACGAAATCATTAACATTTAAAAACAACATGATGAGAAGTGTGTAAGTTAATGAGTATTCCAGCTATATCACGGCGAGTAACCTTCGTATGTGAGGAACGCCCGAAGATAACGTTTAGTCTCTGAATATATATTATTTTGATAATAACAAACAAACCCATTTAAATTAAAAAAGGAGCCCCAGTATGATGGAAATTTCAAAACTTGATTAAATCTAGACTTGCTTCATTTAGGGCTTAGCATTATAAGGTGGGCTTGGCAGTGAGGAAAATAATGTGGTTCAGAGACTGTGATAGATCCATGTCTCAGGAGTTTACCACTCACCTAAAAGCCTAAAAACAATCGACTGAAAACCTAAAACCGTAACCGGGTCGAACGGAGATCCAAACCCGCGATCACAGTGTTGTGGTGTGCCCAAGGGAGGTAACTCTACACAACACGGTGCCTGAGTCCAATGGGCCATCCGCATCTCTGAAACAATGATATGAACCGTGCATCTTACCTGTTGCGTTTCTTTGTGGAGACGAGGTTTGTGAATAACTACATGGGCATCACTTAATATATACTTTTTTCTAAACATCACGTCATGATGGTATTAGCATAAAAATATCCCGTGACTCTAATCCCGTGATGCGCATGTGTAGAGATGTTATTTCCGATGACAGGAAACGCCTCACGCTATTTCCGGTATTTCGCTGAAGTAAAATGAACTTGCACAATGTACTGTACAAACATTATTTGGATATATTTGGATTCCGTCAAACACAATGCGTTGTATATGGTTATTGTATGACTGTTTAATTATGGCCACTTATATGAAAACACACGAGGTACTTAAATTCGCATTTGAATTCCCCATGATGATTGTGAACCAATTATAGATGAAGAACGTGGACGCGTGAGTTGTTGAGGAAGACATGCGGTGTCGGTGGAGTGACTGACTGACTGACTGAGTTTGGTTTTACGCCGCTTTTAGCAATATTCCAGCAACATCACGACAGGGGACACCAGAAATGGGCTTCACACATTGTACCCATGTGGGGATTCGAACCCGGGTCTTCGGCGTGACGAGCCAACGCTTTAACCATTAGGCTACCCCAACGCGCCGTGGGTGGAGCGGATGGGAGGGAGGAGGTACATATTTGTTCCCATTACTTGAGGCATGTTGCTCTTGCTGATCTTCTTCGTCTCAAGGAAAACCAAGTTCTATGGATAGTCAACTTCTTTGTTGCAATGAGAGCGTCGTTTCGATGTAGGTACTAACACCGTTATCAAGCAAGTACCTACACCGAAACGTCGCACTCATTGCAATAAAGCAGTTGACTATCCATAGAACTCGGTTTTCCTTCATCAACACAACTTCTAAGATGTCTATCAAAGAAGTTCTCCTTCTCAGGGGGCGGTGGGGTAGCCTAGTGGTTAAAGTGTTGGCTCGTCACGCCGAGGACCCGGGTTCGAATCCCCACATGGGTATAATGTGTGAAGCCCATTTCTGGTGTCCCCCGCCGTGATGTTGCTGGAATATTGCTAAAAGCGGCGTAAAACCAAAATCAGCCAGTCAGTCAGTCAACATCTCAGGAAAAGCATATTTCAAAATCAAACCTGCTACACCAAAATTAACAACCAACCCAAATGAGTTGATATGAATTCAAGAAAACTGAACACCATGGCATTTATCTTTATAGAAGTTAAACAAACCTAACCTGACAAACCCAGTGGTTGATGCCATGAGCATCGATTACATAGAGCTCACTGATACACTGTAAAGCGGTAGCACGCTGGAGACACATTATAGACTCTTGTGTATCTACGATTACAATTTTAGTATTATAATGCTTCATTTTCGTCAAAACATTCACAGCTTTGTTTACTTTTATTAGTCACATATGTTCTCGTCACGATATGGCTGTAATATTGCCGATGTGACGTTAAATAATAACTCACTCACTCACTTACTTTTATCAGGTCCGATTTCCTATTAGTAGCAATTATATTGGTATGACGTTAATGTGTATCGAGTTTACTGACATATTTAATATTTAAGGAACCAGCTGCACGGATAAAAATCCGTTAGCTCGTCACGAAAAGGTTTCAGGTTCGATTCCACTTGAGTAGCTGTGTGAAGCCCATTTCTCGTGTTCCCCACTTGGCTATTACTTGGATATTGCTAATAGTGACGTCACACCACCCTCACTTAACTTACCGCCCAGGCGGTGCGGTAGCATAGTGGTTAAAACGTTCGATCGTCACGCTTAAGACACGGGTTCGATTCCCCACACGGGTACAATGTGCGAACCATTTCTGGTATCCCCCGCCATGATATTGCTCGAATATTACTAAATGCGGCGTAAACCTAAACTCACTCACATACTCACTCACTTAAGAGCCGAGCGACAAATTAAGTTCGTCAGCAAATTTTAGCTCAGGTTCCAAGGCGGGATAACATTACGTCATATTCATATTCATTCATTCATTCATTCATTCATTCATTCATTCATTCATGCATGCATGCATGCATGCATTCATTCATTCATTCATTCATTCATTCATTCATTCATTCATTCATTCATTTTTACTTTTCATCTCCTTCTTTTTACTTTTCATGGGTACAGGAATTTTTGAAACACCACCGCCCTAAACACCAAAACAGTACGTCATGCTTCAGACATTTTCATGACGTGTCTGCGATAACAAGTGGGACAGCTGTTTGAGAGATGGAATCCACGCCGGAATCAACACTGGAGTCTACTGGGTACGATGTGGGACTCTAATAACACAAGCCAATGTCTCCGTCGGCCGTCATGTATGAGCCCAGAGAGTGACCCCTACCACCCCTAAGTAAAATAAATACAAACTGGAAGATTATATAGCGCTAAATCCAACCACTAAGTGGGTGCTCAAGGCGCTGCTAAGTACTTTTTGAGTAGAGTTAGTAGTGCAGTGAAAAGAGATGCGTTTTTAAGATGTGATTTGAACGCAGCAAAAGATGGAGACAGTTTTAAGGCGAGGGGCAGTTCATCCACAGCGATGGAGCACAACGCTATAAGATGCAGTTATCAATAAGAATTTGCTTTCAGATATTGTCTGGGTGATTTGTATGGGGTTAGCAGTTACTTAGATATTCTGGTACCATGCCATTTACACCCTTGTATGTGATACAGAGTACTTTCAACACTATCCTCGCCAGTGTAATGACTTCAGTATTGCACCCATGCACCAGCACATCCCTCCCGTTTTATCACGCGTACTTTGATGATTTAGACGGCCTCCTTTTAACAAAATATCTATTAATTTATCAGTTTTGAGCGAGAAAACTGTTATTTTACCAAGTTATTCACAAACACGTTTGTATACTTACTCTCCATTTTACAAAATACTGCCCTCACCGTCCCCAACATGTACTTGTTCAAGGAGCTTACATCATCTCCTTGTACAGACCCCTCCAAGATCCTGGACCGCAATACCACGCCACTGAACCAAACCCAACTTTAATTGTTGTGACAATTACCCACCATATGTATTCCCCTCCATTCTCCTGTAAAACCCATTTCCTATACCATTACAATATAAACTGTAGGTCACCAAGTCACACTCGGGTCAAGAGCTCGGCCCACGCTGACTCGTGACAACACGCCACACGGAAATGAATTAGTCCTTGACCTTGTTGGATGAGTCAGTCCTTTGTGCGCTGGCTATATTGACATTTACATGATCTATTTGATAAAAATAAAACTTCATAGTATAAAATGAATAAATGCATTTCATCTATCCATCCAACGTCCTTTCATTAATTCATTCATTCACCCGTGAAGATCTGGGTTAATCTTCAGTAACCCATTCTCGTAAGAGGCGACTAACGGGATCGGGTGGTCAGGATCGCTGGCCTGGTTGACACATGTCATCGGTTCCCAATATTGCGCAGATCGATGCTTATGCTATTGATCCCTTGGTTGTCTGGTTCTTACTGGATTATTTACAGACCGCTTCCATATAGCTGGAATTTTGCTGGAATATATATAAAACTAAACTCATTCATTCATTTATTTGTTATTTCTATAGTTAGGCAACGATCAAAGCGGCATTACACGTACCTCAATCACTCACTCGTACATATAACACTGTAATGTTATAATAAGTATTTAAGTGACAATGTTCGGAACGGCATAACACACAACCCACTCACCCACGCCGCACTACTGTACGGTGCAACTTTGTGATATAACTGATATGACGTTAAATGCGACTTACATCCGCACACGCACGCACAGACACAAACGCATGCACACATACGCACACGCACACATTCACAAACGAACTCACACACGCATGGACACTGGGAATTTAGTGGCGCTATTTGTGGTACGAACCAGGTGCCACCGTATTACAAAACAAATGGACCTTTTCCAAAAGACGATGCTCTGATGTTCCAAGTGCTGAGCACACAACCAACACGCAGGGGTGTATGTGAAAAAGTGATCAGAGCAAACTCAACATTGTTGAAAGACTGTTAAAGTAATGAGCAGTTTCAGATGACTCAAACCATTTAGACCGAAATCAGGTATGCTGTTGATCACCAGATTGTCTTGTCCAGAATAGAATATTTACAAACCGATCCCCGGTGAGGTGAAATTGGGTTTAACGTCGTGCTTGACAATATGTCGCTCATACGACGACGTGCATGCACGTGTATGTGTATGTGCGGCTGCTTGTACTAGCCCAGACTTAAGCTGGTTTTATAGTGCTAGCCCACTGAGATACCATGTCGCAGTGAAGCATGAATACCCCACTCAGACACATTATACTGACTCAGAGCCGACCAGTCCTTGTTGTACCAATTAATGCCGAGCGCCAGGCAGGGACCAACAAGTACCATATTTTAACGTCTTTTGGTAGGCGCGGTCGGGGATCGAACCCGCGACCTTCCGCTCTCTGGGCAGACGCTCTAACCACTACACCACGGAGGCGGCTCACATCGATCCTAAACAGCTGGAATGTTGCAGAGGGTGGCATAAAAAACAAAAAACAAACTCAAAACAGACAAACAAACAGAAAGATGTCAATGTGTAGTTAGCGAGTGAAGAGTAACTAAGTTAAACCAAAGCGCCTCAGCTTGATATAGGAGAAAAACCCAAAGATATGAAACTCTTAAACGTAGACCAGTTTAATGTTACCCTTAACCACGTGATCAAGGGTGACTTCTGTCTCTCTCTCTCACTGACCAAATGAAGCCGGAACTGACTGACAGGGAAATAATTCCATCAGCTGCTTCCATGTCCTTTGACCCACGTAAAACAAAGTTACATTCAAAATAGATATTAAACTAATTTCCAACAAATATCCAACTGCGCAGATACAGCTGCAGGAAGGTCGTTTTTGGTTTGTTTCAGGGAGAAAAACAACACATGAGAGTCTTTTTATGCGACCATGTGCATTCATATTTTCATCCACAATCAGAATGCGTTCATAATTGAGTTTCTTCCCTGAAAAGATGCGTACGACAACCATAATTAGTCATGACGTAAACTTGACTATCATGCAGGACAATCAAACGATTTGAGGATGAAACTTTAGTTAAAAAATATTGAAGGGTGG